CCCCGCGGTCACGTGGCTTGGGGGGGACTGGGGGGGCCTTCTCGAACCTTCTCCCCTCCCACGCGTGTCCCCGCGGAGGAGTCTGCATCGCCCCTCGAGGGGGTGAGGAGCCCCCTGCCCCGTGGGGCCGACCCCCTGCGGGAGGGAGCGAGGGGTTAATGTGGGCCCAGGTGGCGGTTCTGTCGGGTCTGTCCCTCCCAGGTGGGCCCTGACACCTGGGCCCCGAGCTCGCTGCTTTGGAAGCCTCTGTGTGTCTTGTTGCTCTCCCCTCGCTGGCGCCTATCTCCTCCCGGTTACTAGCAGTGAATTTGCTCAGAAGCCCCAGTCATCACCCCGGCGAGGCTTTCCTGGGGGAAAGCCCTGCATCATGCAGGGACAAGTCTCCTGACGGGCAAGGCCAAGCCTCGGAGCTCATGGGAATGGTGTTCTACACCCCAGCTCTGACTTGTAGCCCAGCTGAGCCCTAGCAAGTACCTTATGTGCTTCAGAGCAACGAAGTGGCCTTCCTTGTCCAGAGCCTGCTTTTGGAGGAGCGAATAATAATCGTAAGAAGTGCTCTGGTGTGAAACATTACCTCCTTTGGTAGTTAACCAAAGGAAGAGCAGGTAGCTAAGAAGCAAACGGCAGGATAGTGGGGAAAATCGCCCACCTGCCAGTCAGATGTGACCCTGCTGATGCTGCGTGATATAACTTTAAGTCACATAGCAGACAAATATCTGCTGATTCCCTACAAATTTAACCAAACTGGGTGTCTTTAGCTGTCTGCACTGCTCTTCCCTTCCAGCTTCCTGCACTACTGAGCAGGTCTCGCTGGAGAGCCACGGAAAAGGGGAGAAGAGGAAGTCCCAGGAGGAAGAGAAGAATGGCAGGGAAGAACTTGTGGAAAAGAAAGTTTGTAAAGGTTTTCAGACAATTTGAAAACAAATGTACTCGATTTGTACTTTTGACGTTGGGCTGAGTAAGTCCAGATCCAAGCTCAGCTTTGGTTCTTGCGTGTGCTTGCCGTGGCAGCCTCGCGGGGCACAGGCCGCTGTGGTGGCTTGTGAAAGTCCTGAGCTCTCTGGCCTTCTCTGCCTCTCTCTGAGGGTCCTTTCTGCCCTGCTGAAGGGGCCTGAGGTCACAGAAGTCACCATCTTTCAGCATGTGAGTTCCTGTGTGGTTCCAGGCGAATTTATTTGCCAAATCCACAGATGCCTCTGTGGAGGGGCTGCTAGAAAGCCAGAGAGACGTGTTTATGCAGAGCGCATCGGGCAGCGTGCGTGCCCACGTGTTGCGCTCACCTTCGGGAACGGAGTGTGCTCAGTGGTGCAAATAAGTTATTCTAGAAGCAGCAGACTCTGCTTTCTTATCCTTAGCCTCCTCCTCAAGGAGGAAGCTTTCTTTAACCTGCAATTTAACCCACATTATTGGTGCTTTGTTTAACCTACAGTTCCAGGGCCACGTGTCCCTTTTGGGGAGAACTCAGCAGGATAGGGGCAAACAGCTCCTGTAGCTGCTGTCGTTGCACCATGTTTGGCAGGAGGTGGCGGGAGCTATTTTGAAAGTTACGTAGTGTTTGCTGCTCCGTCGCCTGCGCTCACAAAGGAGTTTGATTTCCGTGTGCCTGTGTCTGCCCTGTGCCCCGTTAGGCTCCGTGGGCCTCCTTGGGCTGAAGGGCTACGTGGCGGAGAGGAAGGGCGAGCGCGAAGACATGCAGGACGCGCACGTCATCCTGAACGACATCACGGAGGAATGCCAGCCTTTACCCTCCCAAATGTAAGCGGCATCCGGCTTGGAAAACTGGGGGCTAAAACTGCAGCTTGCGGCATTGCGAGAAGGCAAAAGAGCCCTGGGCTGCTGCAACGCGGCTCCCTTCTGCTTTGAGCAGCTGGTGCTCGTGACTCCAACGTGCCCTGTGGTGTGATGGGGCTGAGTTTCCTGCCTGTGGCATCACTGCAACCAGGCATGCCAGGAGCTGGGGTTCTGTTAGACCAATCTCCATGCACTACTGGACACTTGCAGCGCCCTTCATGCAAAATGTTCGGCCACTCTTAGGCCAGGCTGTGGTCTGTGAACTCTCTTCCCCCATTCGGGTGGGGAAGTTAGGAGAAAATTTTAATGCTTGGATATGTAATTTGGGTAAATGCCTAAGTGTGCGAGCGCAGGGACTTGCAGCTTTTGGGAATTGCAGCACGGTGTGGCTCAGGTAGGGCAGGGGTTAGGGCCACAAACGTTCTCTGTCTCCTCTTTGGGCTAACGGGCTTTCCTGGCTGTTTTCTGTTGCTCTTTGCTCCTCCACAGCACACGTGTCTCCTACTTCGCTGTTTTTGACGGCCACGGGGGAGTCCGAGCCTCGAAATTTGCAGCACAGAACCTGCACCAAAACCTGATTAAGAAATTCCCTAAAGGTGAGAGGAGTGGAATAGGGGAGAGGGGGCATCAACGCTCATCTTTTATACCTTGGCTTCATGGCTGTCTCTCCGGAAGTCGCTGTGTTTGAATGGGGGGAGGTTCCCACTGCCTGTCACGGATGGGCTTGTGTGCGCAGGGACCTCGTGTCCTGTCCCTTGGAAGAGGCCTGGGAGCCTTTTGACGCAAGGGTGCGGGTGCGGAACCTGGTGTGAGTGCTGAGGTGTGCTCTAGTGGCCCCGGGAGTGCTGCCTCGCGAGGAGAGGAAGGATAAAACGAGTCCCTAGGGTGAGGGATGGCTTTAGCACAGGTCAGAAATTCGGCAGGACCACAGTGTCTCTTTTTCTCCTCTGCCAGGCGAGGTGGTCAGCGTGGAGAAAACTGTGAAGAGATGTCTTTTGGACACCTTTAAACACACAGATGAAGAATTTCTGAAGCAGGCGTCCAGCCAGTAGGTGTAAATGCTTTGCATGCGTTCGTATTTCAACCGCTGCATCTCACGGGCCTCGGTTTTGAGTGGGGCAAAGGGAGCTCTGAGTGGCAGCTGTGCATCTGCAACCCGCTAGCTGTTCACACACAGCACAGCTCTGTTTTGGATTCTTTTAAAACAAAGCAGAAATGTTTTTTAAAATCTGCTTTCTGTGAAAGGAATGCCAGCCTACCTCCTAGCTTTGCAAACATCCTTGCTTTTGCTCAGTCCCTGCTGCACTCTCATGCTAGCTACGGTTTGGGACTAAGGAAGATGAAGACTGGGTTAGAGTTTGATCACTTTGTAACTGGCCTCATGTTTTTTGCCCTCTGCAATTGTCATATCACCTCTAAGGTGGCTGGAGAGACTCTTGGCATGTTGTTTCTGAGCCTCCCCACAAACGCTCAGCTTTATTTTAAACACTGTCTTAGTCTCTTAAACGTAATCAGTTAAAGAAGGTTGGCTAAGCAAAAGGAAAGGGGTTCTGTTAAAGCAGTGTTGCTCCCAAACCAGTCTCTATTTGTTCAGAAACATAACCTGGGACAAAGCTGCTATTGCAGGGTTGCTGCACTGATGACATAAAGTGAATATTACTCATTCAGCTGCATCTTCAAAATAGGAAGGAAAAGAAAAAAGGACAAAAAATGTCAGGATTTCAGTGTCTTGGAGTAGTTTCAGGAAAGAAGAGCATCAGAGCTGGGCTTCCTTACGGAAAGGACTGGTTTGGCAGCTGTAATCTGAGGAGCCCTTCTCGTTTTACCTGGAGCTCTACAGGTACAAGCTTAACTACAGCAAGGGAAATATCAGGAGAGTGACTGTAGTGCTACCGCTGCAAGGCAGGTGGATTTACGGTGGGGACTGACGCAGGCCAATGTACTGAGGAGGAAAAGGAAGAGAAACGAAAAATAGAGCTCTGTCCAAGTCCTGACCGTTCCTTCCTTTTTGCTGCAAAGAGGGAGCCTCCTGAGGAGGGATTTGGGGTGCTGGTTTGCTTAAAATGCTGGAGCTTCTGGGCAGGCAGCGGGGCTGAGCCTGGGCTGTGCGTGGATGAGCTTCCCTGGAGCTGAGCGTGGGCTGGGGAGCATGGCTGGCAGCCCTTGAAAGATTTGGGTTCGATCCCCTGAGAAGCAGGACAGAGTGGTGGCACATTTAGGAGCTGCTGCATTTTGTGGCTCCTCTATCTATGATAGCTACGACTGAGAGCTTCCCTAGCTGCTTGCTCACAGCTGTTTCAAAAACTCTTTTCGCCCTTATTTTTGCTGCCTTCAGGAAGCCGGCGTGGAAGGACGGCTCCACAGCGACCTGTGTCCTGGCTGTTGACAATACTCTCTACATAGCCAACCTTGGGGACAGCCGGGTAAGTGGGACAGAGCAGTTCCCAGCCAGCACCTCCTTTCCTCCAGGAGCCTTGTTGTCTCCGAGGGGCAATGTAGGGCTCTTGTGGGATGGTCCTAGTTACTATTAGTTCCCCGGTAGTTATCTGCAAAGCAGAGGGGAAAGCTCTCTGCATTGTCTGTAGGGCAAAACTACTGTTACTTCTCTAGGTGGTGCTAAATAACACCCGATATCCAGTGCTGCTGCATTCTGTCGTGTTCACAGGCAAGTAATGCCTGGAAAGTTGCAATTCCCACCTAGTCACACCAGAGACATCAAAGTTCCTATTTCACATGTGCAGGAAACCTGAACTGGGAACTCAGAGCCCTCTTTAGCAGGCTTTTTGTTGCCTTTTTTTTTTTTTTTTGGCCAGCGTTTAGTCACAAAGGTCTTTTGTCAGCACAGGCGATTCTGTGTCGTTACAATGAAGAGAGTCAGAAATACGCAGCCTTGAGCCTCAGTAAGGAGCACAACCCCACGCAGTATGAGGAGCGTATGAGGATACAGAAAGCAGGAGGGAATGTCAGGTAGGTGCCTCAAGGTGCCAAGCGAGCAAATCTGTGAGCTTTTTGCCCTGAAAGAGGGAGGGTTTCAGAGAACATGAGGGGCCCAAAGTGTCAATCCTCATGGCAACGCTTTCCCAGTAGTGTCTGCTTCCCCAGCAGGATGTATCCTCTGGGATTGACTGCTGTGCTGAGGCTGTTAGAAGCAGAAATGGGTTTTCTGGAGATGGAGGGAGATCTTCCTAATGCTGCTGTGCGTGTAGGTGTGAGTGGGGTTTGCACCTGATTTCCCTGCTTAGGTTTCCTACCTTTTTTGGAGGTTGCTTCTTGTCTTCATACGTATTTCAGTTAGTGACATCCTCGTGTGAGAGGGGGCTCAGTGCAGGTAACGAGTCTTTTGTTTTTCTAGCCTGCTCTTTGCTGCAGAGGCAGAAATCCCCCTGGGGTGGGAAGGGGTGGGCTGAGCCCTGGCAGGATGAGTTCCTTTATCTCCGGAGAGCACCTGCCACTTCTAATGCTGCGCACTGATCTATCTGTGTGCACGAGGAAGAGACAGGCTAGTCTTTTAGCTCTGTTCAGAACCAAGGGAACTTTTCCCGAGCTGTCTGGGAGCCTCTGCTGCTGATAGTAGTTCAATATTTTGGACCCAAGAAATAAGGAGTGAAGAAAGCCTTGGCAAGGTGGAGTGTGAGAAGTGGCACTGGCTTCATTAAAGAAATTTGACAAATAAAATTGCTCCCTGGGACGTTTTTACAGTTTGGTTTTTGTGGGAGCAGTTGTGGTCAGGGTTTAGTTTGGTGCTTGCTCAGTGGTCGAGCCAATCTACAGGTGTTGGTGTTCCGATAAGCAAGCCCAGGAGGGGCTCCTAGCTCAATCCTGCTGTTACTTTCTGTCATTTAGGGCTTCTGTTGAGACACACTTCACTAAATATCCCCCTAAAAGATAATCTGCAGATTCACACCTCAGTTCAGCCTGTAAATCTTGCTTTCTTGATTGGGCACGACCTGAGTTAGGGAGAAAAGAAAAGAAAGAGCCTTGAATTCCGTTGACTTTGTTTCTCCCTCCTCTCTTCCGTTTGTTGGTGTGAAGCTTTGGGAAACATGGAAAGTTTTGGAGACTTGGAAAGGAAGATCTGATCTTGCCTGGGAGTTGCAAGGCCTGGTACAAGGCAGTTCAGCACTAGCCTGGGGAGGAGAGCCCAGTGCAATGAGGAGCTGCGTGTGTGCCCGGGGCGCTCTCGATGTTTCCTTTCCTTACGCAGGGATGGAAGAGTCCTCGGCGTGCTGGAGGTATCCCGCTCCATTGGGGACGGGCAGTACAAGCGCTGCGGCGTTATCTCCGTGCCAGACATCAAACGCTGCCAACTCGCGCACAACGACAGGTAGAGGGGTCCTCGCTCTTGCTCACACGGAGCACGAGTGGCACAGCTCCCTGCCCCTGCTGGGGCTGAGGCGTTTCAGACTCCTTACCCAGGGCCAAAGGATGCTCTTGGTTCAGCCGCGGAGTTTGGAAGTTCTGAGATGCTTTTCTAATAAGTGATTGGTGCCAATAAATCACTGTGAGCTTCCGTGTCTGCGTGGCTAATGCCTCTCTGCTGAAGTGAGAGACTGTAACCCACTACTGCCCCTTTAGCAATATTGGTGTTTCTGTATCCAGAGCCGCTAAAATATTTGTAGAGAACTCTAGGTGTCAGGCTCTGAAAGGGTGTCCTTGGGGACACCTACTCTGGCCACCTCTGCAGGAGGTCCTGTAGTTTTCTCTGTCCCCTGAATCTGGCTGGGACTAATGGTTCATACAGTTTCCATGCAGTTCCCAGTTCATACAATTCCATGCAGTGAATGTGTGTGTGGCAGCACCTTCCTGTGCTTCCTCTTTTATATCTTTATATCTTCCTGTTCTGAGGCTAAGCTGCTCTCTTGCTCTTTGGAGTATTTTTAATTAAATTATATTAGTGCTCACCCCAGGAGCATTAGATTTTAGAAGCCTTAAAGGGATGCACTTAAGGTATTAAACCTGCTGGAAGTCTCTGTTTGCTTGTGCTAGCTGCTTTGCAGGCAAAATAAGCAACTGAAAAGGTCTCAGAAGGAAGAAACAGTTTCTAAAGAAATACTGGAGCTTTCAGGCAGGACCCAGGGACGTTGTGCGTGGTCTGGGATGACTGTGCGGTGTCAGTAGCTCCCCTGGGATGTCCTGATGGAGTTGTCTAACACTGTATTTTGAGCTGCTTAGCTCTAGGAGCACTTTCTCGTGCTCCTGAGGGATTTTTCGGATAAGCTTGATGGCATCTTCCCTTCAGACTGGAGCAGGGCTGCTCCTGAAATAGGACGGAGGGATTTTGTTGTAGCTGTGCAGTCAAAGATGCAGCCTTACAGCCTGGCCTGATTCACTTCCAGGTTCATCCTGATCGCCTGTGATGGCCTGTTCAAGGTCTTTACTCCAGAAGAAGCTGTGAACTTCATTGTGTCCTGCCTGGAGGTGAGGAAAAGCTGGCTTGGGGGTGTTGTCCTGCTTGTGTGCTCCTTCCATCAGTGCAGGAGGCATGAAACAGGATGTGACCTGCTTCCTCTGAGCTAAAACCAAGCGCATGTGGCACAGAAATGCACTTCTGCTCTGACTGGTGGGAGCTCTATGGAGCACCACAGGGCTGCTCCATATATCTGGACTTATCCTTAATTTTTCTGCTTGCTCCATGCTCGGATATTCCCCAGCGCTTGCGCCTTGGTACTTCTCTGGGCGCAACCCGTGTCGTCTTTGTTCTTGTTGTGACAGGATAAGAACATCCAGACGAGAGAAGGGAAGCTGGAAGCAGACGCTCGGTACGAAGCTGCGTGCAGCAGACTGGCCAACAAGGCCGTGCAGCGAGGCTCGGCGGACAACGTCACCGTCATGGTGGTGCGGATAGAGCACTGAGGCGGGTGCTCCGCGCTGCTCCCGGCCGGCGCAAGGAAGGGAGAAGTCGGAGCGTGTGGGGCTGGGGCAGGGAGGCTCCTCTCGGATGCTCTTCAGTGTAAATAAAGGTCTTTTCTAGTAGTTTTAGTTCATTTGGCCAGCAGTGTTTTATAAATGGCAAAGGCTTCCCCAAGAGGGTCAGCCTGCTGGGAAATCGCTTGTCCATTCTTGCTGTGAGCATTGTGAGAAACCAGACATAAATGCCTATGGTAAAGGTGCTGGAACGACAGCCCGTTCAAAACGGGGGCAGTTTGGGGCTTTGGTTCCTCTTGAGCTACAGGACTTGGTGGGAGCTCCAGGTGAGGCCAGGCCATGCGCCCAGTGCAGTGCCCAAGGCCTTCTGCCTGGAAGCTGGCATTAGCTATGCCCTTAGTCCTGGGTAATCCATAGTTTAAGCTCTGGAACTGTGGCCTTTTTTTGAGGTTTTGTGCTGCTCTTGTCTCAGTTACTGAGATGGCAAAAGCCCTGGAGTTTGTTCCTGATACATTGATAACCGAGAAAGCCTTTTCAAAGGGATTCAGCAAACGGATCTACCATGAAGTGAAGGCAGGCACAGGCTCAACACTTGTCTCTAGTGCCGGTCTTTGTGCTATCTGAGGAACAGGAATCTTGTTTGAGGTACTAGTTGCTATTATATTCTTATCCCTTACTCATTCACCTACGAGCTGCTGGTACAGAGAGCAAGCAATGCCGTTTTCCAGAGAACCATTTGGCAGAGAAGCAATATATCTCACTCCTTAACACCTTGTTAAGGTTTGTGGTGGTTTGAGAGTCACAACAGCAGGGGGGCTAAAATAGATTTGGACACCAAAGCATGTTTCTCAGATGAGCTGTGTTACAAACTGTGACTTCCCTGACCTGTGGGCAAGACATTTGGTTGGGTTGATGTGGTTCCTGCCATGTGTGTGTACTTGTGAGGTTTCCCTGGGCTGTTTTCTGCTCCCTGAAATCCCTGGGAGGTTGGAGAGATGCTCCTGCATCCTGGTGCAGGACCTTGGGCCCTCTTATCTCCTCCGAATTTCAGAAACTCTTGGTTACACCAGTGCTCTTGAGTGTGCTTCGTTACAGGACTAGGGAGAAAGTGCCTTGGTGATGAGTGTGTTTAAACTGTGCTGCTGTTCCTTGACTTGTCGCCATGCAAAGTCAGAGATGGCCACAGTAGAGGCAGGTAGTGCTCGGTGTACGTGGTCCATGGTGTCCAGGAGGACAACTCGCCCTCCTTTCTCCTCCTGCAGCTGCTGCTGTGGGAAGAGCTTGCGCTGGGCTGCTGGAGCGAGTCCCACCAGTCATCCGCTGCCTCCAGCAGGAGGCATCTCCTCCTTCCCGTGCAAGAGCTGGCGCAGGAAGTGTCCCTTGGACCTTCTCTTAGCCCTCCCACAAATATTCTTTCCTTCCTTTCAGAAAGAATGCTGAAAGCCCCACTCCAGCCAGGAACAGAAGGCAGAGTGCTGTGTGCTGTGAATAAACATGTGGTGTAATGATGCATGGAGCAGGTTTTTACCAAGCTCGAGAGAAAAGTGTGAGGCAGGTTCAACATTAGCCTTAATAAACTCGTCTAGGAGCCTCTTGCCACCCCCTGCTTATCAGCTGGGCAAGGGCTGTTCTCCAAAAGTGAATCCTTCTGTAGCCTGCACTCAGGAGGAACAGAAAATGGCTAATCTGAGCAAGACTGACTTGTCTCATGGTTGCACCTGGATGGAAAGTGCTTTCTGGGTTGAGTCGCTCAGCAGGGGGAGAGCCGCGTACTTGTCTCTTCCAGGATGCTGCTGCCCACTAGGATAAAAGTGCTTTCTGGGTTGAGTCGCTCAGTGTGGGGAGAGCTGTGTACTTGTTTCTTTCAGGATGCTGCTGCCCAGTAGGATAGGCTGTAAAACTATGTGGGTTTTTTTTTTCTTTCTTTCTTATTTCTCTTCCCTGAGAAATTGAGCCTCTTTAGGGACACATTCTCCTTGCCCCCCAGGAAGAGCTCAGAGTTAAGGCTGCAGAAATGGAGCTTTCTCCGGTGTGTAACCACCATGGACTGCAGCTAGGGTGACTCCTGGGCGGCTTCAAGGCCCATCCAGGACACGGAGGGAGCCCCGGGGGCTGCCGCAGTGGCAGACGTGGCCGCCCTGCCCCTTGCCTACGTGCTCGGGCCCTCGGGCGCCCGTGGTGCTGGGTGTAGTCGCAGCCTATCTGGCGGTGCCGCTTCCTCGCCGCCCCACGCCCAGCCCGCTCGGGTACCGGCGCTGCGGCCCTGCCTCGCGCACGTAGCCCTGCTCCCATCCTTCGCCTCAGGCTGCTATCGGGGCCAAGGCAACGAGCGTATCGGTGCGGGCCATGGCCCGGGCCCCGTGCCATGGGCAGGGAGCACCTGGCCCAGCACACGAGGCCTCCGCGGTCGGAAGGTGGCGAGGGAGGGGATCATTAATTTGCTTTAATGGAGCGTGCCCAAGGCTCAGGCCCCTGCTCTGCTTTGCAGATTAACTTGGGAGGGCACTGCCTTCTGCCAGGAAACAGCAGCTGATAATAACGTGCGGGGAAGGTAGTGATACAACTAATCCGTTGTCAGCAGCCAACAAGCAGGGCTGGGAAATCTTTTAAGAGCAAAAATGGGGACTTGGGCCTTTCCTCTCTGGCCCCCACCAGGAACGCTTGCCTGGAGCAGAGTCCTGCAGGGAAAGCAGCCTGCGGCAGCAATGCCCAGCACTGCTATTCACAGTAAACCTCCAGCTGAGCCTTTAGATTCAAGCAAACTCCTTCAGTTTGTTGTGAGATGGAGGGTTATTTATTTATTTATTTATCCTCTCCTCACTGATTTCTTCTGGCTCAGGCAGTCTGGGTGTACCTGGGCAGCTCGCTGTTCTGCCGTAGCAGGCCTCTCTCAGCGGTGAGCGGGGATGACGGAGCTGGCGGTGGCAGGCGGCAGGGTCTGGAGCGGGGATGACAGAGCTGGCAGAGAGGCTTTGGACGCGTGCTCGGGCCTTCTCAGCCCCCCAGCAGCACCGCGCTGAAGCTGGAGCCGCTTTGGACAGTGAGGGGCGAGCGGGCGGCATTGTCGACGAAAACAGAGGCGTACTGCCCAGCCTGAAAGGCAACGGGGAGGCTTAACGTGACGGGGCCGCCCTCCCAGCACGGTGCACAGCGCTAGCACGTCCCTGCTGCGTGGCATGGCGGAAAGAAGAGCGCGTGTCTGTCCTGGCAGAGCCCTGTGCTGTCTCTGTTGCCTGTGAGGGGCTTGGGACACCTTCAGCCTCCTTCCAACTCGGAGCAGAGCCTGGAGCCCCAGCACTGCTCACCTGCAGGTACAGGACTCCGTTGACAGAGACGGTGAAGAGGTCGCCACTGCTCTCCAGCCGGGACACTGTCTCCAGGGAGCTGTGGAAAAGCCAGAGCAGGGCTGGGAAGAGCACGGAGTCCTTCCTTCTGCCCGGACGTGTTGACCTCGTTGCCTGCCCCGGCTGCGGGCATTGCTCTCCCCCAGTGTAAGCAGGACTTTGCGTTGCCTTTCTAGCACCCTCGCTAGGGTTGTGCCACGAGCCCGGCGCTCGCTTGATGCTACGAGGTGTGTGTTGGGCAGGCATAGCACAACCGGAGCTGCCGAGGGGCTGGGGAGCGCAGGGCTCGTCCTGCACCGGGCGCTGTGCAGGGACCCTTACCTGTGGTGCTGGCACAGGGACTGCACGCAGATGAGGACGTGCAGGCGGTTCCTCCCACACTGCCTCCCCTTCCTCTGGTGGCCTTGGTGCACTGCGAGCGAGAGGAGGCCAAGCAGAGGTCAAGCCTCCCTGGCCACGTCCCTGCTCCCGGGGTAAAGCTGTACAGGGCAGGAGCCGCGGCTCACCGATGTGCAGCGTGGCCGTGAAGGCGTAGTAGCCTGTGACAGGGGCCGTATACTGGCCGCTGGGGAGGGTCAGCCCCAGGCCGCGGGGG